ATTGTCTGGTGTGTGTACTTATTCAAGCAGTTCTCAGAAAACAACTTTTGGTGTGACTGCAGATTATTCCCAGTGAGGCTGACAAACACACTTGATAATCTAGTTTATATTGTGAAGAGGAAGAAACTGTCATTTAGGTTTCAGTGTCAAGTTTGTTCTGGCAGGCAGTGACTCCTTTCTTATATCCTGTTCTTGATACAGCCTCCCAGAGAATCTTTGGACAGAACTCTGATGATTTAGTCATTCTTCAAGGATAGGATCTGTGATTTTCATTGTTATTGTTACTTTGCACCAACGCCGTCCAAAGACAAGCAGCACCGGTGAACATGGTGTCCTCACCGTAATGTGTGTGAGACCAGACCCTGGTCCAGCTTATCGCTCTGTGCCATAGACCTCTAGTGTTGTCTTCCCCATTTTTCAATAGATTTGTATCAAAAATCAGGTGAGCAGTCATTTTATCACTTTAGCCATGTTATTCTTACATTAATAGTTAATAAATATAAAACTTCCAAACTGTTTTGCTGCCTTATAATGCAGCTAGCTAGTTAGCACGAAGTTAACATAAGCACTTGACACATTTTACGCTGATGAAAGTAATGGTGAACGCTGGGAACTATTAAAAACAAGCTAGACATATGACACTATAGATAGGTATTGCAGTGGTTCTCAAACATTTTGTGCCCAAGAAACAGCCTTGCTGCCTCTGGTGCAGATCTCGTGCTCTTAGGCCTCATTTCTCTCAGTGTAGAAGGGATGTTTGGTTTCCAAGTGCCTCTTCAGCTTGCTTGGTGCCACATTAGCATTAGCCAATGTGTATCCTCACATCACACTGACATGCTCAGATTCACTTGGAAGCCTGTCTGTGATTTTATCTTCAGCTCTGGACAGATATCAACTGCGTTAGCATATTTTAGCACCATCACAGCGTATTTGTAGCTCTGCTAGTGGCTTGGATTTATGGATGATAGTTCACTATTTTGGTCCACATGGAAATATCAGGATAACTACTGGATAGGCTGCCGTGAAATTTTATCTCCAGGGTATGAATTGTGAGTGAATTTGGTGCTCGTGCTACTTTTACTGTAGTGCCACAGTGAGGTTCATATTTGTTATTTTACATGAAGTGCCTCAGTAACTATTGGTTGGATTGTGATGAATTTGGTTCAGATATTCACGTTCTCCTCAGGTTGAGCTGTAGTAGCTTTAGTGATCTTCTTTCTTTTTATCTAAGGTCAGGTTCATGTGTGGCCGGGTCAAAATTATAATTTGTCAATACTTTTAAGCCATTTATGATTTCTGTGATGACAAATCATAAAGTTAGTAGCCAAACTCATAGTTGAACCTGTTTCAATAAGTTACTCTCTGAGCAGCAGTTAAAACCCATCCACCCATCAAAGCTTTGTTGTGTTGCAGTCTGTTTAACTGGAGAACATCATGGTTGCTCAAACAAGGAACAAATTCCTGGCAACTGTCAAAGTATTACTGTGAACCATGAGGAGTGACAAACAGTCAGCTGGAAGAAGTCACTCCCGCCGCACTTATCTGCTCACAGTATCCGTTTTGATTTCCAACACTGATTGTTGGGCTTGTTGGAAATGACACTGTTTGCGTACATATCAGCAAGAGGGAATGAGGCTGGGTCAGGTTTCCTGTGTTAATGTTATGCCCAAGTTCTTGTATTGGACAGATCTGAATAAGGAAGGAGTCCGTCTTTCTTCATTTTAGTGCTGATTTATTTTAAACCACAAATAAAGTAACAAACACGACCCGGGTTGTTCCTTCATCCAGAGACGCATACATTCTGGCTGCTGGAGAGAGGAGCCCCGGAAGCACAAAGCCAAATACATTTATAAGTTTTGGGCTAACCCCTTACACAGACAGATTACAAAACCTCAGATGAAGTCAGTCCGCAGACTCCATCGCTTATCTAGAGCTCCAGCTGCATGGAGCCACTGGTCATAACAAAATGAAGAATTTCAAACTGTGTATGTGTTGTCTCGTGGTGCGTAACTAAAACGTTCATTCAGACATACTTCTAACACAGGATGGATACAAGAAAACAATTGGTTTCAAGGTAACTGTAGCTCACATTTCAGAATCAACACTGTCTTCTAACCTTGAAACAGAGCAGACTAGAGCATACTTTGAATTTTACTAAATTGCATTACTAACACATTTGATTCAACACATTAATGTCTAATAATTATCTGATTGATTTATTAATTTCTAACAAATTCCCCCTTTTGACATGATTTATATTGTGTCAACCTAAATCAAATGTCCCTGCTGTCCCCAGATTAGGCATCCAAGGAGGAGAGAGGCCCCCCCATACCACCCCCTCCAGGGAAAGCCCAGAGCTGAGCACCTAGGGCAAAATCTGAAATAATAACATAAAAATAATGGCATGTAAGCTGATTCTTTGTTGCTGTGGTCCTATATGTAAGCATTTATGTGAAAGCTGAGTCTTCATTGCAATTATAGCATTTTTCAGACAAAAACATGGAAATGTTTAAACAACATGTGGCAAACAATCATTGGTTAATCATAACATTTGCAGGAGGAATACATTATGCTGGAGACTAAAGATCTTCTTCCAGTATCACACATTTATCACAAAATTCTACTCAATAATCAAAATCAATCACACACCTATGAGTCCACACCACCTAC